CCATGCCTTATCCCACAGATGTTCACTCCCTTTGCCTCGAATGCACTGTCAGATCTCAGTCCAGACCTGGGCAGCCCTGGGGTCAAATACAGGCCTTGGTGGATACAACGCCTTTTTTCCAGTATGACACTGACAACAGCACAGTCAAATATTTGGGTCCCGTGGGGGAGAAAGTAAATGCCACCAAGGCATTGACAGAATTGACCCAAACTCTGGGAGAAGTGATGCAAGAGCTGAGGATGATCCTGTCGGACACGCAACTGGAGAAAAACAAGACCAGGGGTGAGTACGGGACAGGCAGGGAAACGAAAGCAGGCAGGGGAGGGGAGAGAGGAGTACACACAAGGAGAGGGTGTTAGGTGCATCTGTGAAAGAGCTCAACCCAACCTTAGGGACACATGGGACCTAATGGGCAAGAAGAGGCAAGCCAGGGAGAAAAGCACACAGGCCCCTAATGGTGCAGAGAAACTCCCCTACTGGGAGGTGGTGGGTCTCTCAGGAGTCGAGGATGATGGCTCTGTGTATGCACTGTCGGTCTTCCCACTCTGCAAGTCAAGGTGTTTTGTCAGCGTGAAGAAGAACGATGTACTGGTGCATCCTGGCAGTTGAGCATCAGTGGCCAGACAGCCCTCCTCTTTGATGCAATGAACATGAACTGGACAGTAATGAACGCTGAAGCCAGACGGACCAAGGAGGAGTGGGAGGACAGGGGGCTGGCAGAGTATTTCAGGAAGCTATCAATAGGAGACTGCAACCACTGGCTCAGGGAATTCTTACAGCACTGGGAGACAATGCCAAAGCAGACAGGTAACAGCAGGGAAACGTGATAGCTCTTTGTAAAGGTCTAAAGCTTTCCTGGGGGGCATCAGCATGGGTGTAGAATGGGAAATTGGATGGACTGATTGATTGACTTCCTGGTGTGCTTTCCCATCATCCTTTCTTTCCCATCCCACCTCCCACTGTTTCTTCCTCAGTGTAGGAGCCCCCTTCCCCACTAACCAATGATCCAGTTACCACTGACCCACCACATCATTAAAAACTTCCAGGGCTTCTCTCCTTCCTCTGTTATACTTGCCCTTTCACCAGTTTCAATGTTACTTCACCACCTTCCCCAGACAGAATCAAATACCAACAATTGTATCATTCTCCAAAAAGTTCCCACCACAGTACATGTGTCAAGTTATATGATAATCAGCTTGACATTTGCTATCTCTCTCAATAAAATCTGAGCTCCACAAGGACAAGGCACAACTCCCATTCTTCATTACATCCCAGGATCTGGTAGAGTGGCTGCTACTGAGTGTGGAGTGCCATGTGTTCCTGGAGAAAGCAGAAGTGGAGGACAGTATGCTTTTAGGTTTGACAGGGCTTGTGCTTTTTTGTTTTAGTGCCACTGATCCCAGATGCTCCCCAGTCTCCATCTACCACATTAATTTCATGGACCTCAACAGTCTTCTTCCTAGTTCTAACTGGCATTGGCTTTTGTCTCTTCATGTACATTCGGAGGGAGGTACTCAGATGCCATGGAAGGTGAGGAACAGGCTGGCCTCTGACCTTTGGAGAGGTCTTAGTCGGGTAAAGTCTTGGAGACTTGACCCGTGGCTCTTCCCCAAGGCCTTGTTCACTGACCCATCTCACTCATGGAAATAATGCCCTCTCTTAGTCTGGGCGCCACACTGCATGAGGGCTGGTGATTGCCCTGTTATTGGGTAGAGGAGACTGGCATAGGCAGCAGGACAGCGCAGTGAGAGGAGGGAGGAGGCAAGCATCTTCTTTCAAGGAGGGGCAGGGTCCTCAAACTTTTTAAACAGGGAGCCAGTTCACTGTCCCTCAGACCACTGGAGTGCCGGACTGCAGGCCCTGGGACGAGTTGGCTGCTAAGCAGGACAGGCAGCGGTGGCAAAAACACTGGGCAGGCCAGATAAATGTCCTAAGCAGGCCGCATGTGGCCCATGGGCCATAGTTTGAGGACGCCTGGTCTAAGAAGATCTAGAAAGCCCAGCTGGGCTGTTGTCTCCCAGCAAGCTACGCAGGGCTCCCCAGCCCTTTGATCAAAAAGTGATTTGCTCTGAGCTTACTGTGACTTAACAGTTTTCCTTAATGTTGTAGCATCTATTTCATTACCTGCTATTTCTTCCCTGGATGCATCTATTATCTCCCACTTAGCAGTCAGGTGTGTTCTTCAAGATTCCACGTGCCTCATTTGCATAGTTTTCTCCCATGGCCCTTGAAGGAGCCTTTACAATGTGTCAACTTGGTCATCTTGAAAAATTTGCAAAAGTGAGATATTTACTCACAATTAGGTATCAGAACCAAGAGCATGAGCCAAACACTCATGTGGGTTAAATTTTCCCTTTCTTACCAAGATTCAGAATCCCAGGAAGACAGGGTGATCATTCTCAAAGGCTGCTTTACTTTGAGAGAACGTCACAGAGTTCTTATACCCTCCCCTAAAGTTACTATTTTTAGCTGCACATCATCCAGCCCTCCCATCTCTAGCTAAAGGACTCAGTGTTTGTTACTTTGCCAGGTGTTTCTTCTTCAGCCCAGGGGAGTGATGGCCTTCATGGTGTCAGCACCAGGGGAGGACTGAGTAACACAACTGACCTTAGATTATGGACAGTTAGATTATTAAGTAACTTTACTGACCTTACGTTACTGACAGTTAGATTATTAAGTAACTTTACTGCTAAGGCGGGGAGGGTGGAGGCTGCTTCTTTACTCTGAGACTCTGTCAGACTTCCCTCTATGTCAGGTGGAGTTAAAGGGGCCTCTGGCATTTTAAAAATTTAATTAAAAGGAGGATGAGTTAGGAATATATTTATTTGAGTTTAATGAAGTATATTTACTTTCATGTACAGTTAGGTTATCACTTTGTGGAAACCACAAGTCAACTGAGCTGACTCACTAGGTGCCATGAAACAAAGGGTCAGGGCCACAGGTTGAACAACAAGTGAATTAACTTAGCCAGTAACATAGTACTATATCCTAGAAAAGACAAAGTGAAATATATTCACAAACAGAACACTATGTGGAAATAGATCATGAATAAGCTTACTGCTACACAAAAAATAGATAGCTCTCATAGGTAGGATGCTGAGAGGAAAATGTCAGATGCAAAAGAATATATACTCCCTGATTCTATTTACGTACATTTTAAAAAGCAATGAATTCATTTTAAAAAGCAATGAATGGATTCATTTTAAAATGAATCTTTGGCAACAGAAATCAGAATAATGGATACCTTGAATAGTAATCTATAATTTGATCTGACAGATGATTATGCAGGTGGATTTTATTTTTAAAAATACATCAAGCTGGCGGCACCTGTAGCTCAGTGGGTAAGACGCTGGCTATGGACACCAAGGCTGGTGGGTTCAAACCTGGCCCAGACTAGCTAAAACAACAATGACAACTGCAACAACAACAACAAAAATAGCCAGGCACCTGTAATCCCAGCTACTTGGGAGATTAAGGCAAGAGAATCACTTAAGCCAAGAGTTTGAGGTTACTGTGAGTTGTGACACACAGCACTCTACTGAGGGCGACATAGTGAGATGCTGTCTCAAAAAAAAAAAAAAAAATCAAGCTGACCATTTAGGATTTGTGTACTTCACTATAGGGATATCACATTTCAACAAAAAAATTTTTTTTAGAAAATTTTAACAAAGGTTTGTGTTTTCCTTAATACCACGTATCTTGACAAACTGGTACAACTCTCCTGTCAGGAACATACTCAGTGACGATTAAATTATAAATATATTTATATATATATATTTTTCTGATGAGAGGAGAGAGAGAAGTATTATATACTGGACTTCTCTACTAGTTAGTCTTCCTCCTCTGAATTCATTTCTTTCTTCCATTGATGTCTTGTCTTCATAGTGTCCTCCCCAGACTGACCCAGGGAGACCTCAAACATTTAAGCATATCAACTTAGAATATCTGGCAGCTCTAGAGTTAAAGCCACAGTGCCTGGGCTGTCTGTGGAGTCAGACTTAAGATTTTATCTGTTGTGCAAAACAACCCAGTCCATCCATGACTCACTTTAGATCAATGTGTCTGATGTAAGAGACAATTCCACTCTTTTATTCATTGTTTAAAAGAATACCAAGACTCAGGTCTGTCTCTGTTCTAAACCTGGGCTCCTAGGTGAAAAGTGAGAACACCAGATTATAATGTTCAAATAGGCTTGGGAAGATATGGCTTGAGTCAGACAGGGCCACTGGTGCAAAAGGGGCTTAGGTGGTAGGTGGTGTAGTGGCTGCAGGAATACAGGGAATGGATGTGCTCAGACTTGGGTGGGGACAGATCTGTCCACAGATGGGAAGGATCCCATCCAGAGACCTGCAGGAAAAGGGGTTTAATTTAATCCCCGGTGGAAGGTGACTGAGAAGGTTTAACTACCCCAACCAAACAGGCTGGGATTTAGGTGCTATTCCCAGCAGCAAAGGGGATTGGTGAGTAGGAAAGGAGACAGAAGACCAGGTTTAGAAACCGGGTCTGAACTGTGGGGATTCAGAAGAGGCTGGGCCTCCATGTTCACCTGGGGGCCCAACCTAGCCAGCCTCTTCCTGGCTACCTGAGCCTGTGTCAAGCAGTTACATGTCTGGGCAGAAGCAGCGTGGGGCCCAACTGCTGGTTCATGTTGGTGCCCACAGCTGAGCTAAACAGAGCGCAGATACAGGACAGGCCCAGGCTCAGATCATGGTGGGTTAGAGTTAAACTGAAATAAATGGGTCCCCTCATCCTTCCTCCACCTTTGGAGGGACCCTCCCCACTGTGTGTCATGGATCTTCCCATCACAGAGAGGGTCAGCACCTAAGGGACAAAGGGACTTTCTGTGCTCATGACACAGTCCTATTTTGTCATCTTTGGCATTCCTTGGCATTGCTTCTGTTGATGTGATGGAGGAGAGGGAAGGTTGACCAAGGCTAAATCACAGAGCAGAAGAATGGACAGGGAATGTCTTAAATCAGGAGCTAAGAGACAGCAAGTGTGTCTGAAATGGCCTGACCTAGCATTTCCCCAGAATCTAAACAAACTTACTTCTCTTTTGAAGGCTCAATGCTAGAGAACAGGGCTCAGCTCACCAGAATTCATTCATGTTTCACAGTGGCTGTTTACCTGCTGTTTTATTCCAACGTGGGCACCAGAGAACGTCAAGAGACTTAGTGTGTCACATCCTATGACTGTCCTAATGTGTCTTTCTGCTTTGATGAACCATCTGAAGGATTTGTGAATTCCAAAATAAAATTCTTCCTGATACATGCACCCCTTCCCTCGTAAAACCCTCTTCTTACTGGTGGTCCCCTACGAACATATGCATGCCCTATGTATGAGTCCATTAAAAGACATATTCAAGGATTTCACGACAGCTTTATTCCTTATAGCCCTGAATTAGAAAATAAGTAATATCATTAACTACAGATGAATAAGTTACAATGACATTTTGATGTGAGTATAGAAAGCACAAATTTATGCAACAGAAAAGGAAGCCTACAAACATACCCAAGGACATCTGGAACCTTGATGCCTAATCATATGGCAAGAAATATATGTCAGTGAAGGATATTCCATTTTTTATTAAATCATAACTGTGTACATTAATGCACTTATGGGGTATAATGTGCTGATTTTATATACAATTTGGAATGCTTACATCAAACTGGTTAACATAGCTTCACCTCACTTACTTGTTTTATTAAGACATTTACATTTGACTCTTAATAGATTTGACATGTACCCTTGAATTATGCACAATAGGTGAGGTCCTGAATTACCCTCCCTCCACCCACCTCCCCCTTGCCTTCACTCCCCTCACCCT